GGCTGCCCTGGCCGGCCAGCACCCGGCGCTCTCCTACTCCTACCCGCAGGTGCAGGGCGCGCACCCGGCTCACCCCGCCGACCCCATCAAGCTGGGCGCCGGCACCTTTCAGCTGGACCAGTGGCTACGCGCGTCCACCGCGGGCATGATCCTGCCCAAGATGCCCGACTTTAACTGTGAGTACCCGCGCGGTCCCGGGGCGGGTGCGGGAGGGCCGGCTGCGATTCTCTCACACGTCCCCCTCACCTCCCTTCCCTCTCTGCTCTGGTCTCATCGCTTAGCGAGTTATGGTAGCGCTGCGAAGCCGCCTCGGCTCTGCTTGGGGGGCCCGCGGTGTGAGATTAGCGGCGAATTATTAAAATGGCCACGCGCGGGCCTTGCTTCCTTTTCTTTCTTAGCGGGAAAGGGCAGCTGGAGGTGTGAGACTGAACACTCTAATGATTAACCTGCAGGCTGGAGAAGGAAGTGGTGGGGGAAGGCGAGCCCGAGAGCGCCCTGAATTAGCCCGGCCTGGGAATGAGGGCTCATAGAAACCCGGGGCTTAATCGCCAGGAAAGGAACTTGGCCCCGACCCCCTATGACCTCTGGCGAGACCCCATCCCTCCCGCGAAAGAAAGAGCGTCAGGAGCCGCGAACTAGAGAAACAGGCTCGGGGACCTAGGGCTGCACAGGCCAGGGCCCCCGGGCCCCCGAGTGAGCCTTGCTGGGGCACAGCCTTCCCCCAAGGGGTGCTGATGCGCTGCCTGGCTTGAACCAAAGGATTCGGCGACTAAGCAGCAGGTGCGGGTCCCCTGAATCCACCGCTTCCAACATGGTTGGAGTGAGAGTGGCCCAGTTACCCCCTCAGCACGCAGGTGGGACACCTCCCCTGGAGGCCTGGGCCCATTCCGATTATCCTGGCACACAGGCTCAGGCGGCTGGCACTCTGGCTGGCTCTCCTCGCTCCCCCACGGGGGTCACCTACCTTTGAGTCAGACCAGAGCAGAAGATGCCTCAGCTTCACTTTCAGCATCTGAACACCCAAACAAAGAGACCCCATTGTTTCTGGGTGGATTTGTTTAGACTGGGGAGATGCAGCAGGCAGGGAAGGGAAAAAGCAAAAAGGAAAACAGAAACCAGCACTCTAGAATTGGGACTCTTCTGCTAGAAGACGTGGTTGTGACCAAATAGAGAAAAGCTATGACCCCAGAGGCTAGAGAAGTCACACGGGGATGAGAAAATCCCGGGGTGCTCACTGTTTGCCCACAGCCACCAGGGCTTTTCCCAGCTCCGCTCCAAGAAGGCCGGCATGTCCACACATCCCTTCCACTGGAGAGGCAGCCCCTGGGAGAGGCAGCCCCTTCCCAGCAAGAAGAAGGAGACTCCTTCATCTCTGTTTGGGGCTGTACCTCAGACATTTCTGGGTCTGCTAACTCCCTGTCAGCCACTTAAACCCAGGGCGCCCTTCCGGCCATGGCTGCTGAGCCCAGAAACCCCTTTTGATAGAAAGCCGCTGCTTTTGCCAGTGTGACCTACATTGCCCAGAACCTGGGGTGCTTAACCCCCCCACCCCCAACCCCCGCCCCCAGCAAGCTCAGAAGCTGCTGGTCTCCACACAAACCTTCTAGGGCTCTGGGCAGTCACCAGCACTTCTGGGGCCTTCACAGAGCCCAAGGTCACTCAGAAAGTAGATTAAAAAGGAATACCTTTGCCAACACACCAGGCCAGTCTCTGACTCCTAATCTTGGCCCAGAGGTGGCCAAATTAAAAACACAGCAGCTTTAAATTGGGAAAAGGAATCTGAACACCACAATCCAGAGGCGAGGACAGTGAAGTGTGTCCCGAGGAGCTCTCCTTCCTGGTCACTGGAAAATCTGTTTGGTTTCCTTTAATTGGTTGTCTCGGCCCATGGGATGGCATTTCCCAAATGGTCCCTTCAGAGCCAGTGTTTTAATTAAAGTTCTAATGTATTGTCAAGTTGGGAATTCGGGACCTTGTTTAACTAAAGCAGGGGGCGTGGGCCTTCCTATAAAGCAAATTGCCCATCCCGGGGGAGCCTGAGCTCATCTAGGCCCAGGCTGGCCTCTTCTCTTCCCTTTGCTCCCTTTCTTTTATTGTCTAACACTTGTCAGGCTCCTGGGAAATCAAGGGAAGTCTCGTTTTGAGGTCATAAAATTCTCTGTGATGTAACCGTGCAAAATTATGTAAATAAAGTCGGACAGGCCTCCTTGAACACACTGAAAGCCAGATCCGCCTCTGCCTTTAATTTGCGTAATGAGAATGGGCCTGAAAAGGCTTCCAGTCTCTCCAGGCTTTGCCCTCTGCACCCTGGGGCAGGGTAGGGGGTGGGAGGGGACTTGTCAAGAAAAAAAATTTTAACTGTGGGAGAGGCTCTGGAGAATAGGTGACTTTAGGGTCTACTTTGGCTTTTTTCTGTCTTCCGTTCCTTCCTTCCCTCCCTCCTTTCCCTTCCTTCCTCCTTCTGTTTCTTTTTCTCCTCCTCCTCTACTTCTGTTCCAAGGAGGTGGTGGTGGGACTCCTGACCAGCAGGGCCAATCCTTGCTCACACCAGTCAGGATTTGAGCCTAAATCCAGGAAGGTGCAGTGAAACGGGGAGGGCATGTGGTTCCTCTGGGCACTTCTCCTCCTGCCTTGGGTCCACCCTCTTCCTACCAATGCTCGTCCAGGTGGAGACGACCTCAGACTTTGTCTTAGACAAAAAGATTTGATCTCATTAGGCCAAACTGCTCAGTTCCACTCTGGACCCCGAGTCCCCTGTTCAGGTTGAGCGAAATGCCCAGCTTTGAGGGCTAGGCGCCTGCAGTAGAGGGGCTATGGGGGGAAGTGGTGTGGGATGAACGGGAGGGAGCGGGCTGGGGCCCTCACTGCCCTCCCCACCCGCAGCCCAGGCGCAGTCTAACCTCCTGGGGAAGTGCCGCCGGCCGCGCACCGCCTTCACCAGCCAGCAGCTGCTGGAGCTGGAGCACCAGTTCAAGCTCAACAAGTACCTGTCGCGGCCCAAGCGCTTCGAGGTGGCCACCTCGCTTATGCTCACCGAGACCCAGGTGCGCACCTCCCGCCACCACCAGTGATTTCTGAGCCTCTAGGACACTTTCACCCCTGCACTCTTGAGCCACAGGTTGTCGTGGGCATCTGGATCTGCGCCAGGGCGGTCCAGGTAGCCGGTGCCCCAGTTCCCTGATTCAATAGATTAGGATGAGGCCCGAGAATCTGCATGTAAGGCCCCTTCCCTTAACCCTAACCGTAACCTTGGCCATATTCGAGAAATTTCGCTCCAGAAAGAGATGAGGGAACACTTTGAAGTTTACAGACATGAACCCAGCGGCCTTGTACGGCCTAGATGGAGGCCGCGGGTAGAATGTCGACGGCCCGGGGCGCTGGGGACAGTCCGAGAGCTTCCTTAGAGCCCCCAGCCAGCTCTAGGTAGCTGATGAGTAGGGGAGGGAGGGCGGACGTCGTCCTCCGGGCTACAGGCCTCACTGGGCGCTCCCGGGCGCAGGGGTCCAGGGTGCACGCAGCCGGGCACCAAGAGGCAGGGAAGCTGGGAACAGGGATGGCCGGGTTTTCATCCCCCCTCGTGCCTGCAGGTGAAGATCTGGTTCCAGAACCGGCGGATGAAATGGAAACGCAGCAAAAAAGCTAAAGAGCAGGCGGCGCAGGAAGCGGAGAAGCAGAAAGGCGGGGGCGGGGGCGCCGGGAAAGGCGGCGGCGCCGAGGAGCAGGGCGCAGACGGGCTGCTGGGGCCGCCTGCGGCCGGGGACAAGGCCCCCGGACGCCGCCTGCGGGACTTGAGGGACAGTGACCCCGAGGAGGAGGACGACGACGACGACGAAGACCATTTCCCCTACAGCAACGGCGCCGGGGCCCGCGCCGCTTCGTCCGATTGCTCCTCTGAGGACGACTCTCCGCCCCCACGGCCTGGCGGGCCCGGACGCCAGCCCCCGCCTCAGTAGGAGTCCGGCGGCTCGGCAGGTGCCTGGACTCCGCCTCGGGCCTGGGAGCTCTGCCCGGCCACCTCCCTGGGGACAGCTCGCCGGCCAGTTCGGGGGGCCTCCGGTCCCAGGCCTCCCCTTCGGGCCACAACGCCTCTTCTGCTCTTCAGAAACAGCGAGAGGGAGACCCAGCGGGCTCAAACTTGAACTCTAGTTCTTTTAAAATTAATTTTGGTTGCGGGGGGAGGTGCTTGTGTGAAGAACCGACAGCTCCCCGGGGAAGCCTCCGCCCCCTCTCCCCGCGTAGCAGAAGGCGGAAACCGACAGTGTTAAGTGACCTCTGAAACTTGAAACCTTCTCTGGAAACACCATTCGGCTGAGTATTGAAAACAGAAAAGATTTTGTGCTTATATATCTTGGGGGTGGGGGTGAACGGATGTCATGAGCGTTCAAACTGCTGGGAATCTCAAAACCGTACTGTATTTTTATATATTGTATTTATATATAAAAAAGAAACGTCTACTTATGCATGCTAAATTATTTAGCTTCTCGCATCGCCCACGATGGAACGTAAAATAAATTGGTTTTTTACTGGAAGAGAGTGAAAATCTTTGGGGGTATGAAAGTGGGCTTTGCTGTTTGGTTGTTGAAGTGATGGGGAGGGTGTCCATCCAGCGGTTGATACCGAGAGTGAAAATCGGGCCGTGACTGTCGGGACCACCTCCAGGCTGGCTCTGCGGAGTCGCAGGTGTGGCCAGGTGCCAGCGCGTGCCCGGCGCCCGGCTCACACCTGTTCAGGACATGTGACTCTCGGAGGAGCAACGGTGGACTCGGCCGGTTTATTTCCCCGTGTCCTTGCGGGATCTTCCTGAGTCGTCGGCGCTCCAGAAGTAGAAATACACCCCCTGAACATTTCAGAAAATAAGCCTCCGACCATAGACTTGAGCGGCATTTGGAGTCCGCGAGGCGGTGGCAGGTTCACGCACATTTCTCGGAAGGCGCTGAACTGGAGGTGCGTTCCGTCTGCTCCCCCGACCCCCGCGCCTTCCCCGGCGGCGGAACCTTGGCTGCTCTGGCGTGGGTCGGTTCTTTGGACCTGTGCTAAAGCGGTCCACGGCGCCAGCAGCCTGCAGCAGGGACGCCCACCCACGGTTGCCACGGCCCTGGGTTAATAAACCTCGGCGGCGTGCGCCATCAATCACGCGGCGCCGGGCCCGCCGGCCAGCCATGTGCTGCCCACATGCGGACCCCACCCGCGCTCGCGCTCCGCCAGGGCCAGGCGCTCTCCCAGCTCCCCTTCGGGTCGCGGAGCTGGTGACCGCCCGGGAAACTAACGATCAGTTTCTCTCCAGCTTGTGCCTCCGGTTTCCCCGCGACTGTCCCCTTCTCCCCACCCCCCACCCCCCACCCCCGGGCTGGGGTGAGCAGCCTCCTTCCCCAGCTGATAAATGAGTTCAGAAGGGCCAGGCGTTTCATTTGGGTGATTACTGCGGGCGATCGAGGCCACTCCTCTGCCTCAGGGCCGGGGCGAGATTAATATCCTCTGCGGCAGCTCATTATCACCCCCGGCTCCTTCCATAAAATGCAGCCTCAGCCAAGGTCGGGGGCGCGGCTGCTGGGAGCCACACAGAAGCGGCGGCCGGCGCGGGCAGTAGGGCGGGCCTGGCCTCCTGGAGTCCAAAGGTGGTCTGCGGAGCCAGAGCTGGGTCTGCAACTGGTGGAGCAGAGAAAAAGCCTCGAGGAAAGTGGGTGGGCAAGTCAGAGGGGAGGCGAAGAGAGGGAAGGTAGGTGCCTCTGAGGTTTAAAAAAGTCAGCAGTGTGTACAAGCCTCTTCTTAATCTCTAACACATTGGAGAAGGTCAGCCTGAATCAACATCTCCACTGGGTCGTTCCACATCTGGGGGTTATTTCCCCCTTTGAGCTCCGCCAGCCCAGGTTCGGGCCCCCTCCCCAAGACTGGGCAGCCGGTAAGGGGAGGGCCTGGGCCTGGAAAGGGGGTGCAACATCTGGCTGGGCTCTCGGGGCGTCCTGGGTCTCAGCCGAAGCTCCGCCCCTGCATCCTAAGGGGTGGACTCCCCCTCCGGGACCAGGCAGAGGAGCGGTAAAGGAAGACCTGGCCACCATCAGGACCGACCCCTGCCCCGACCCAGCAGAGCAAGGCCTGGTTCTGCGTGGAGAAGGCTGGAAGCCCTGCATCTTCAGCCAGCCGCTCACATGCACTGGAATTTATCTCACTAATAAATTTGATGATCAATTCGTTCTTGTCACACCAGCTCTTCCCCAAATCAATTATAGCAAATTTAAATATAATCACTGGCTCATCCTCACCCACTCCGGGCACGGTGAACAATTCATTCTGCCTAATGAATGGTTGTGAGGCTCGCCCTGCCCGCCTTGTGGAGCACGTGCCCCACCCCGGGGCTTCCACTCAGGGTCACTGACTGGGCTCAGCTTGGGGCAGGGGTCACCCTCAGGGCCCTGCCCTCAAACTACACCTGAGCCTCAACCTCAGGGGTCTAAAGTCTTTGCAGCCCCTAAAACCTGGTAGTCAGGACCCAGAGCTGGGTCTACACAATCTGACCCCTGAGGGAAGTTGAGGCAGTTTTCAGCCTAGCCCCAGGCTTCCCTCAGGAGAAACCCCTGCTTTACAGTCACTTGGATCTCTGTGTCCCAAAGTAAGTGGGGGGGGGGGATAGAAGGGGAGGTCATTGTGACCCAGAGGCTGGGTCTCCATCTATGGTCTCCTCCCCTAACTGACTCTGTCCCTGGACCCCCAACTCGGCCCCTTTGCCCTGGTGAGGGCTGGATCTGTTTGCTCATTGGTCACACTATTGAGAAAGACACGCCTTGCCCTGTGTGAGTTCCTGGGGGTGTGCAGAAGCATGTGGATAAAGCCCTTTTCAGGACAGGAGGACCTGTGCCCACCTGCAGACCACAGCCCAGGGGCCCTAAGCAGCCCACTGGACATCTGGCCAAAAGGTGAGGCCAGAGAGAGACACTGGATAATAGGTTAATACCGGAGTCAGGAAAGTACAGAAACAACTAGAAAACAGAGGAAATGGACCTGTGCCCTCCACCACAGTCCCCAGATGGAGGTCAGCTGGGAAGACTTAACTTCCCCCTAATACAAAAGTAAAAACAGACAATGGGGCCACATCAAACTGAAAAACTGCAGTGTGCCACCAGGACGCTGTCTGCGGAGAGAGAGGCGACCCGGGATGAGGGAAGAAGATATTTGCAAACCGTGTATCTGGTGACAGGTGAATATCCAGAATATATAAAGAACTCCTTCAACCCAAGAACAACAAAACTACAATAATCCACTTTTAAGGGCGGCTCCTGTGGCTCAGGGGGCAGGGTGCTGGGCCCATATACTGAGGGTGGTGGGTTCAAACCCAGCCCTGGCCAAATCACAACAAAAATAGCTATGGTGGGGGCCTATAGCCCCAGCTACTCAAGAAGCTGAGGCAAGAGAATTGCCTAAGCCCAGAAATTGGAGGTTGCTGTGAGCTGTGATGCTACGGCAATCTACCATGGGCAATAAAGTGAAACTCTGTCTCTACAAAAAAAATAATAATAATAATAATAATAATCCACTTTTAAAATGGGCAAATGACTTGAACCGACATTTCTCCAAATGTATACCTACACACACACACACACACACACACACACACACGAATGGCAGCAAGTGTGCTGCAGAGATGCTCCACATCACTAACGTGGGGAATGCAGGTCCACCCACCAGGACCACTCACACCTGCTGGGGGGGGGCCGGGCAGAGCCACCCACCAGGACCACTCACACCTGCTGGGGGGGGCGGGCAGAGCCACCCACCAGGACCACTCACACCTGCTGGGGGGGGGCGGGCAGGCATACAGCAGGGAGAAGTTGGTGTGGAGAATCTGGGGCACTTGTGCACGTGCAGCCCTGTGGAGAACAATCCAGAAGTTTCTTAAAATTAAAAACAATTGCCACATGATCCAGCAGTCTCAGCTCTGGGTACATATCCAAAAGAAACAGAGACACAGTCTTGAGGCCGTGTTTGCCCCCCGCCCCCCATGTTCATCGCAGTGGCCAGGCGGCTTGGGGCAGGGGTCGCTCACAGATGAAACAACGCGGTACGGACATCCAGCCAGGCAGCACGCAGGCTGAAAAAAGAAGCAAGTCCTGTCTTAGGCTACCCGGTGGATGGCCCATGAGGACGTTATGCAACCTGAAAAGAGCCGGTCAAGGAAAGACAGACCGCGGACGACTCCACTAAGGAGCGCGCCACTTCACATGAGTCAAACTCCTGGGAACAGAAGTGGTGGTCGGGGGTGCTGGGTGGCCGAGGAGTTGGTATTTCTTTGAGATGCAGATTCAGTTTGAGAAGATGAGAACGTTCTGGAGATCGATTTCATAACAATGTGCACATAATCCCTCCTCCTCCCCGACCCCCCCAGCGCCTCCCAGTTGACCAGCTCGCTGAGCCTGCGGCCTCGCCGGTCCCCCCAGAAGGGGACAGTTCTGAGTCCTGGCTGGGAGTGGCCCGGGACTCGCGTGAAGAAGACCCGCCGGGCCTCGGGTGTGCGGTGCGGGGCTTGAGCTGCGCGGGGGCGTCCCCACAGCCCCCCGGTATCAAAGTCCTGCGGTGCACTGCAGCTCCCTCAATAAAACTAACCCCTCCGGAGGTGTGACCTCCACCGAGAATGCCGCAGTGTTCAGACTACAACGCCAAGTATGGTTTTCAGATTTGGTTTTTATGGTCGGATTAGAGTTTATTTTCCATAATAGGGCACCTAATAAAATTCATAAAGCCGGCCGGGCCTCCAGCTGGTGGCCTCGTTTAACACTTTCAGTTCGTAAATCACTTTACGACCTGCCAGGTGCGTCCCAAACTGCAAGCGGACAGGAAAAGCGGCGTCCACGGGCGCGTCCACGGGCGCGTCCGCGCTGCCCTCGGCCCCGCGGAGCCCGGTCCGCCCCGGGTGGGCGCCCGGCACGAGCGCGGCGCACCTGCCCGAGCCCCGGCCCGCCCCCCCGGCCCCGCGCCGACCCTGCA